GGAGGCACACTTCTGCATGTTTGCACTCTTCTCTCTTTGCTGCATTTTCACACATATACAATATAAAAAATAGAGCCAAGCGAATGTGTCAGATTATGCACGGATCCCACCCCAAACACATTTCTATAAAAACGAGTTGCTTTGCTTCACCTGTGTGTGGTTTGCTACTGCTTGGATGATTTCCTGCTTTAACAATTGCAGTTCCTAACTGTGTACATATTGTGGACATTGGCTCTTGGGATTGTCACTCATGAGGAGCTCACACTGCCATCTGCTGTGAAGGCTTCTCTAGACACACTGCTGTGGGATCCTGGGGCTCTGCTCTGACAGAGACTGCTGATGCTCTGCCATCCCCCTGGAAGAGCACTAAGTATTGTGGGAGAGCAAACTTTGGCTAACTTTTAGTTGATTGTGCCATAGACTATATAGACGCTGTAACTTCTACACAGAGAAGCTGCTTAAAATAACACCTAAAAACCTGAAGGAACCATCATGTTATGTTATTCTACAAACTTGTCAGATAAAACGTGATGTGGAGCCTTGTTGCATTTTACACTCAAAAATGATTGCAAATAACCCCATTTATTTTATACCATGTTTGAAATAAATCAAGACAGCTATTACTGAAATATTCATCCAGCACTGGGTCAAATTATGCTTTCAGTGTTTTCAATGCATGATCTGTATGATTACTCTCCTATATAAGAAACATACACCAATTTAAAAAAGTGTGTCACTGAGGCATACTGTTGTCTTGAGCATGAGCTCTCCTCATGTGGGTCCCACCTACAGGGCACGGAACAAAAGAGCAGTGTGCTCAATGGGAATGTGTGCTCAACTAAACTGACTCAAGAAAAAAGCTTTCTAAATGTCGGTCTTCTCTTCACACTGATGTCACCTGTACAAACTAAAGATAGACCACACCAAAATATGCCACATTCATTCCACTATTAAGAAGATGATTTTACAAACAGACAACATGCTGGATGTTACCTATTTGATTTCAATATACATATCATATTCATATAGTATTACATATAGTCTTTATCTTGTAGTTCATAAATATATGCTACAGAATAAAAATGAAAATAACAAATTAAACCTTAGTCTGAAAATGAATACCAGCCACACACCCACCACAATCTCTAAGTCATACATTCAGTCATAATAAATCAATGTAGCTGAACATAAATTTTGTAAAAATGTTTTATTTTAACAAAAGCAAATACTTATAAATAGGATGCAACCTACTACACTGTACCACAAAGAAGAGCTTGCATAAAAATCTTGACCACTAAAACTGTGCAGCTCTAAATGCTTGAATGCAGCTAACATGTGTAAATAAATATAAACAGTAACGTGTCATATTCATTTTAAATGTTGAACAAAGTTTCTAGTACTGACTGAAGGCATCGTCTTCAAGTGCAAGGGCAACAGTGGCGTTTTAGCGGCAGGGTATTTGAGTGACAGGTAAATCTGAACAAAGGAGGGGATCACTATAGGCATCACTTTTGCCATTGACAGATTAAAAAAACAAATAAACAAACAAAACTTGTAGCATGACAAGACTAGTTTCACTGATGTTGCCAGGGTGTACATTTCTAACAGCATTTAAAGCTATTACTAAAATGGAAAGCAATACATCACAGGCTATTTTCATATGTCTATGGTGCCTTGTTATGAAAGAGAGCAATCAATGTCATAAATCTATAGGAGCTTTGTTTCTGTTGTATTGTGTGTACGGGAGGTGACCCCAGCACTGGCAGCGCACTCATACTTGACATTACTGTTGTGAAGTGCAAGTATGATCGGTCCGATGGTGACACCCCTGACAGCTTATCATACACTGGGTAGAGACGGACTTGTCACTAAGCTAATGGAGTGCTCCGAGGTTAATTTACAACCATATGAATCCCATCAATAAGCAATTAGGAGGTGTGGAAACATGGAGAGACGCTCGAGTCAGCAGCTACATCTGCACTGGCCCCCACCGACTTCCAATCAATTAATTGCTGTGCTATGTCTGCTCTTAAGCCAAATGATGGATTCACAATGAGCCAAGCACAGAAAATCACTGTGCAAGATGGTGCTCTTTTGTGCGACCTCCTTTGTAATCTGCAGCAATACTGAAGATTGTATATCCAAAACTCATTATAAGCCAATACAAATTACCTTGAAGTTAATGTTTTTACAAAACGTTCTCATTTGTTAGATGTTAAGAATTTCCATATGCTAAAAATTTCATCTCAAATTTAGTGCAAATAAATATTGATGGGTTTCAGCTTTATGTTTTATGCAACATTTTGAAAACCTTTTCCCAGTCAAAAGATATATTATGTTCTTTTAAATTTGCAATGGCAACAGTCCTAATTTCTCATTATTCTGAAACCTGGACAAGATCTATACATGAAATAGTCATGGTCACATTTTTATAGAGGCTTTGTACCGTCACGTGACCCCTATAGCAACGGTACCTATGCCGCAATGACACCGGGCACACTATGCCATTGACTTCAGCAGCATCGGAGAAACATGGGCAGGTTTTGTTGTGTGTTTGGTTGTTCTAGATGCTCTGAACAGGATAAAACGATTTGTTTCTTCACTGTTCCTCTGGAAATGATTCATCAGGAGCTCAAACAAGGAAAAACAGGAACTATGGCTAGAGAACATAAACCGCAAAGAGATTTCCAATGGTACCATCAAGACACTCACGTCACTTTCATCAAGATATTTTCTATTTAAATTGTTTCATAGCTTATTTAATGAGAGAAGCACATTTACTGAACTAAAATTTAAAAAGAAAACATTTGCAGTGTGAGTGGCAGTAGAAACTGTAACTTCCAGCGCACATATAAACATGTCACTCGTCGTAGGATCGATGTTTTCTTCATTGCCTTGCTTAACCACAACTATGTCTTCTAGAATTAATCGCTTTTTGCGAGCGAATCTTTCTAATGTTCGCGAGGATCTTTTCATGGCCGATGCTTTCAAGGTTCGGCTCACAGACTCTTCGACTCGTGCGCCATGTTGATCACAGGAGCCCAGTGTGGGTTCGTTGAATCGTAAACTAGTGCAGGTTTTCCTGGATAAATTAATTAAATTTTAGTTCATTAAATGTGCTTCTTAAACTAGTGTGTATATCTAAGTATGTAAAGTGCCACTGTAAAACTGCAGTCAGAGGTGCTATGCTGTGTCCTGGACTCAAGTCAAACCTTTGGCCTGATTTCTAAGATTACACTTGTCTGCAGTCTACCACCCGACTGCCATCAAACTGAAAACTGATGATTAATCCATTATTAATCATTCATCTCAGCTTCACAAAGTTGGAAACTGAAAGCAAAGCTGCTCTTATGAAGTAAACAATGCTATGAAACAATTTAAATAGCAAATACCTTGATGAAACTTCGGGTATCTTGAAGGTACAATAGGAAATCTCTTCGCGGTTTATTTTTGCCAGCTATGGTCCGCGTCTTTATTTCAATAAGTCCCTTGTTTGAGCTCCTGATGAGTAATTGAGTAACAGTGAAGAAACAAATCGTTTTACCCCTTTCAGAGTGTTTAGAACAACCAAATACACAACAAAACCTGCCCATGTTTCTCCGATGCTGCTGAAGTCAGTGGCATAGTGTTGCCCGGTGTCATGGCGGCGTAGGTACCGTTGCTGTAGGGGTCACGTGACGGTGCAAAGCCTATATATAACAGTTTTCAACCTTCAAGGCACTCAAAGCACTTTACATCAAGGAATCACTCACCCAGTCGCACACCAGTGTAGGCAAGGTAGCTTAAGTGTCTTGCCCAAGAACACAACAACAGCATTTATCTGTGGGTCAGTGGATGTGACTGCTCGACCAATGATGTTTATGTCGAGAGCGAGAATTGAACCACCAACCTTTGGATCAGTGGACAAACAGTCTACCAAATGAGCTACTGTCATAAAACAAGCACAAAATGTCCAGTATGTGGCTTAACCTTCATGCTACATCGGCTTCACAAAAATTCATTACATCAGAAAATTACATGTAGAATCCTTTTTTTTCCCCTGAATCTAAATATATACGATTTTGTATTATATATTATGTATTATACGTATATATATTATATGTATTGACTTTCTCTTCCCTTATACAACCATTTAATTTTATAGGTGTCATTTGGCCTTTTCAACTGAATATAAAGCCCTCACTACAAAGCATGCATTCTAAATCAGTACACTGCAGGTTGTGTAGTTTCGTGGAAAAATCAGAACCGACTCTCACCTTCATAGCTCATCCCCTTAAAGCCAAAATCTTCCTTTGTGCTGCATCTCGCTGGAAGGTGGCTGGTCTGCACTAGATTTCATTAAAATTCAATTGTGATCTTGTTGCTCATCAGCCCCCATTTTACCGGAGATTCTGTGTTGATTTTTGCACTGCCTCTGACACATTCGCTGTTTAAAGTATTCATGATCATATGTACGCTGACTGTCCTGTGCATGTTGAACACCTAATTCCCCACATAGACGTTCTTTTATTACCTCCTCCATGTCTTTTAGGCAATGAAGTCTCCCTCCTTTTTTTGTACAAATGTGACACACTTCTCCACGTCCCCAGAGATATTCCGATGTAGGTCTGGTGATATGATATGTATGAGATTTTCTACCTTATCAGCTGCATCTGACTGCCATAGGCCTTGGGGAGATTTTGAACACGTAGTTGCCATCCGGTCGCTTACCATTTTAAGTGGAGATGCACGCATCGGGAACAGGGCCTTTTATTCTAGCGCAAAAAGAACAGATTCTAGCTAAGATACTGCCAGTCACTCTCAGTCAATTTATTTTACACAGAAGATTGTGGCATTGTCTGCTTCTCCTTCCGCCCACACATGTAACCCATGTTAGCTTATCACCCCTCGCAGGATATGTAAAAATAGACTTGTATACCTGGTTGCATTTGAGGTCTATTCAGTGTGTGTGTGTGTGTGTGAGGAGGTTTCCAATGATGAATTTCTCTTGTCCTTCTCAGCTCCTCCAAACAACATCTCGGTGGTGGCAGAGAACACGCCTGCTCCTTTCAGTCGATACCAGGCCCAGAATTTTACTCTTCTGTGCACGGCCAAAGGAGGGAAGCCAGCCCATCGGTGAGTATTTTCAGTATTTTCATTGTGAATTTGTGAACTACTACACTACTACTTGCTACTACTACTAAGTATGTAAACTGCAGTTTTACGGTGGCAGTTTACATACTTTGATATACACTAGAGTGTATATCTAAGTATGTAAAGTGCCACTGTAAAACTGCAGTCAGAGGTGCTATGCTGTGTCCTGGACTCAAGTCAAACCTTTGGCCTGATTTCTAAGATTACACTTGTCTGCAGTCTACCACCCGACTGCCATCAAACTGAAAACTGATGACTAATCCATTATTAATCATTCATCTCAGCTTCACAAAGTTGGAAACTGAAAGCAAAGCTGCTCTTATGAAGTAAACAATGCCATTTAAAATTCTAAAAATACCACTGTTGGCATTAGCATGCTAATTAGGTCAGATGTGTGCTATACACCAGGGAGCATCTTCACCCCATGTCTCGCCATTAAAACTCACTTAAACATCTCCATGCTGATTAGCCATTACTTAATGCATCTGAAAAGTGCTCTAATAATAGTTCATGTCTTAAAGGTCTGTACTCAGCTCAAAGGCTGAGGTTTAATTCAGCAATGTTGCAGTAATGTGACTTGCAACACTGTACTCCAGGGACCACTAACCAGAGACATCAGCAAAAGTCACAATGTTCTGCTCATTTGATAAAGGTCTGTGATAGTTGTTTGGTCACAAATAGTACACGTAAGTAGTCTTGAAACTAGATTTGTACTCTGTTCTCTAAATCGGTAAACCAAACTACATGCCATAATAATGCTATATATCTGGGTAGCCATAGGGTAAAAGAGAAAATTAAGAGTAAATTATTCACTCTGTCCTGAAAGGTCAGCTTTCTGCATTTACAATGTTGGTGTTTTACATTTTACACTGCATGCACTCCATGTACCTACTCCCATGATTCCCACTGTCCATTTCCAAAGGGCAGAGGTGAGCTCATTGATATGTATGGAAATGAACTACATTTTACAGTACTTTGCTATTCACCGGAGGAGCTTTTAGGGGAGCTTTTAGGATGTTTGGAAATGTGGACCGTATTATCAGCCCTTAATCTTTATCTGAGTATGTAATGCAGCATTTATTTAATTATTTTCAGAAAGAGCCTCACATTGAGGGTTATCACTTTGCCGTCCATGTACTAAATCACTTCTCAGGTGTAGTATTACACTATACTGTGCTTACAAGCAGACATGTGAATGTGCTACACAAGCTGTAGTCTGTGCTGCAGTCTTTTCTATCTCACTCACGTTAGCTTAGAGAGATGCACTTTGTGTTTGGTCGCTCCTGGTTTGTTCCCAGTGGGTCATTAATCATTGTCCACGGGTGTATGGTAATTGACTCCAGACCCTGACAACACCTATCTCCTGCAATTATGAGTCCAGCAAGAGGTGAATGCAAGGTGAAAGCCATTTTAATCTCCCAACAAGTACTTCCTGTTATTCTTTGGCTTATTTGAAAAGGAAAATTTGATTTATTACAATTCAAACAAAAAAGGGCTCTAAAAAGCTTAATGCAAAAATGACAAAAAGTCTGTGAATCTAGAATTTGAACTTAAAAGTGCACATTGATTTGACTGCATTAAATACCAATGAAACCTTCAGTGTTCAATAGGATTAAATATAAGAAACCAGGTTATTCCAATTTGATAAGATGTATGTGGTTATTATATTCCACTGGGTCAGGACCTACACTGAGTTGGGCACTCACGCTGTATGTTCTGAGTGCCCAACTCAGTGTATGCAGTAGTGATAATGAACAGTTACGAAATGTGTATATTTCAAGGGTGAAAATAAGGGCACACTTTTTAATTCTCTTTCATTTGACTTCACACTGTGCTGTGAATTTTATACATTTCCATCCTTTAAATTATAAGATATAAAGTATAATATGACTGAATATAATATGGATGTTACGTGTCCATTTGAATTAAATCTATTTTATCTATCTATATCTATCTTATTATGCTTTATCTGGTATAATTAGGTGTCATTTTGATTTAATTTCTGATATAAAGAAATAGTACATTTTCAGATCTTTCAGAGACTAAATACTGGAGAACTAGTCACAAAATGCAAATCTGATAAAGCAGAGAAGGTTTTTCAGGGACAAGAGAATCATAAAACTGTGACAGTGAAAAAGTGTGAGTGCATCCGTCTTTGTGCAGCTATTCTAACGTGCTAAGTCACTGTGTGAAAGGCACAGGCTGTACTCTGGTGGACAGTCCCGTTTTAGGCCTTCCTCACAGCTTCAGAGCACATAGTCTGTTTGAGTGAGAAGACGCTGTGTCGGCAGCGCTCATGCAAAGCGTGGAGTTAAACCCAGTCAGCATGACGCGACCCCAGTGAGGAGGCTACACATCAGAGCTGCCAAATTACATGGGCTCCACAGGGAGGCTGTAGCTCTGTGTCAGACACTGGGAACGGTGTCTGTATCCAGTAAACATACTCTCACATTCTGACAAGGACTATGGAGAGGTCTGGGAAGTTTATAGGCCTCATGTTTGTATTATTATCACATATGATCCCATTTAAGTTTACTATGGTTATTTTATGGTAATCCAAAGCTAATAATTTATATTTTAAGAGGATTCATCTACAAGTTTTTGCCCATTAAACAGACAGTAGCCTATGCAATATGAAAAAGATGACATAGTATTCTATTTATTTAAATAAACTTTTCAGAGTTTTTAACCATGTAATAGTTGTTTCCCTTCTCTTGTACTCTGTCAAAGTTGTTTTTTGGAGTGATTTGTGCTTGTTTGAGCAATCTTTAATCAGTTATTTTCAAGACGTCATTCTGCAGATCAACATCTGTTTTCAGCACCACCTGCATATACCCATTGCTCTGTATTTACTTTGTTCTCCAATTTGATTTTCTTATTCGTTGATACACGCAGGATTCAGCAGCATCGCATAGTCATTTTAGTACAAATGAAAAGCAAAAAATCGGTAACACTTTATAATAACTACACCTTATTTAGCCTTAATAAAGCATGAATAAAGACTTAATTAATAATGATTCACACTTAGTAATGACTTAATTACTACCTGAATTAGCACTTAACTTGCACTTAATTCGCCTGTGCTGTAAATAGTTACTCAATACTTCTTAATTACTCATGAACTAACCATTTGCAAGTTTACAAATGTATATTTAAGTACACATTTCAGCATTTATTAATCATTAATAAGCCATGAGAGAATGATTTACTAATAATACAATGCAATGATCATTCAGGCAGCTGTTATCTGTTAGTTAAGTCTTTCTGCGAGCTTTTCTAAAGTGACGACTAATTATGTTTATTAAGCATTTGTTAAAGTTGGTCAAATTCCAGAGAAACAATAATGCATTACTAGTAAATCATTCTCTCATGGCTTAATAATCATTAATAAATGCTCAAATTTGTACTTAAATATACATTTACAAATGCACACACAAATGGTTAGCTCATGAGTAATTAAGTAAGAAATACTTATGAGTAACTATTTACAGCACAGGTGAATTAAGTGCAAGTTAAGTGCTAATTCAGGTAAAAATTAAGAAGTTACTAAGTGTGAATCATTATTAATTAAGTCTTTGTTCATGCTTTATTAAGGCTAAATAAGGTGTAGTTATTATAAAGTGTTACCAAAAAATCCAGTACTTGCTCGCGTTACCTGCATTTATCCATCGGAGGAGCCCACTCTTTGTTTTGATGCAACATCTGCTCCCACTGGACACCACAGTCTTCTAAAGCGGAAGTCCTTTAAGGTCAACATTTCTTTTCTTTTTTTTCCCCTTCTTTTTGTTTTTTATAATATGTTTTTGTGAAATGGATTTCAAATTGCATTCTCCTTGTGATAGAAAAATCCCAGATTACACCACAAGATAAGAGATTGGTCAAATTCATAAGACAAATCTCTCTATTTCCATAAGAGTGTAATAAAGCTTCACACACCCTGATGAGTGATACACATCTTACACCTCCGCCTCCAGGATTGTATTTGAAGTTCTTGCTTGGATGTTATCAGCGTCATTAGTTGTCTTCTGAACTTTTGGGTGGTCACGGCCCTTATTATGAGCAGTGTGAGTATTTGAGTGGCTGCTCTGGTTCTGTAATGTGCGTGTACTTCAAACAGCTCTGTGCTCTCTGATGAAACTCATTTAGACCTGGTCGGTGCTGCTCCGGGGCCTGCTGCGAAATGAGCTGTTGTCTGCTCTATCTCCACCGTCATAACATTGTGTGGCTGCTTTCAGGAGTCTCTCACTATTACCACAAAAACTGCCCTGATTTATAGAGCCGGGAACAGCGTCTAAATATAAGAACTTTTTTACAACCCTACTCCAGAATTGAGAAATAATCTTGAGGTCAAAAGTTTAGAGCTAGTAATTCTGCTTTAATGCTCCCTTTTTGTGTTCTAAGACGTAGAAAAAGTACTTTCCAATCTTAGTTTACAACAAAAAGTTTGCAGTAATAATGTTATTGTTTTTCCACACTTTTCCTTGCTGTTTTGGTTGTTTGAGTGGTGTATGTCTCTTATATGTGAGTGTGTCAGAGGTTTCAGTCTTCACATCGATCAATAGCTACATGGACAGGCTTGTGCATGACACCTCACTGTTAGGAAGGTGTTTCAATAAAAGTGCCCTGTCCTTAATATGAGTTTCTTGTTTTTTTCTTCTTCTATCAGATAATGCAAGTAAGAGAAGATTTATTTCCCTGACAAAAATCCTCTCTCACGTACATAGTCTGATTCATTTCACTGAGAAGACAAGATGGATATTCAGTCTAATTGAATGACAGCAATAACTTCCATAATGGATTATAAATTGGCATAAATGTTTTAAATGCCTAGGTTTGATAGAATAGTGCACTGATTTGAGGAGACAGTGATGTAGTAGTCGCCTAAATCTCAAACATTTGGAGATCTGAATAATCTAGTTGTTTTTTGGGGGGGTGAATTAATGAAATGTCAAAAACATCTGGCTTACATGTTCATTGGTAGATTAGTTAATAGTG